TTATTTTACATGTTTAAACTTACAATTTTAATTTTATTATGATATTTTTTTATAAAAATTTTAAATTTTAAATAATAAAATTAAAAATTATTGATAAAAACATATAAATTAAATGAGTTTAAACATGATTCAAGTCGTATTGTTATAATATTTTTTCTTATAATAATTTAACTTTACTTTTTTTGTTATAGTGTTTTTCTCTCACATATAGTGTTTTTCTCTTACTTTTTTGTCACAGTATTGTCTCGTTCATTTTGTTAGTTTAAATTATAACTCAAATTTTTATTATAGTATTTTCTCTCATAAAAATTTAAATTTAATTTTTTCTTATAGTATTTTTTTCTCACGTGAATTCACTTTTTATCTTAAGTTATTAATTCGAACAAGTAAAATGTTCTTAATTTGAATAAGCAAAATAAACTTAAAATCACGTTAAAATTAAAAAAAAATCCATCAAATCTTTTTATGTAAAATTGAAAGATTTTGATATAAATTAACGGTTGATAATAAAGTACAATCATTCCGATCATCAAAAATTAATTTGCTTTTTGTTTTTTTACTGAGGTAACATTGACTATCCATCGTAAGATCGTTAATTTCAACTATACGATTCATATGATGTCTATTAAGTAAAATCATTCTACCGAGCGTTTTTCTATCAATCAAACACATGCAAATCTACTCAAATAGAATATTATTTTTGTTTTGGTCACCGTAGTTGCATATACAACTATAGCCTAATAAGTCCATACAAACTACTTTTCAGCCACAAAAAAAAAAGCCATTCAAACTACGACAGGGCTGAGTTTAAATCTCACCCCAAGTTCAATAAATAAAAAGACTAAAAGCTATTATGAAACCTTTACAGGGGAAAAAGGAAAAATGATTTATAAGTATAATCAATGCCAAGTAACACAACAAACAAAAGGTGAGTCTCACATACCCAACAAATTAACTATAGAAGTATTCTCAATAATACATGATTTCAAGTATTTTATGGGTTGTTCTTTTCTATTTTTGAGTTAGGGTGATTTAAGTGATGATTTTGAGTTGAGTTTGAGTTATAACTTGAGTTGAAGTTGTAACTTGAGTTTGTGTTTAGATGTGCACATTTGAGTTATGATTTAAATTGAGAATCTTTTTGAGTTTGTATTTGGGTGAGTCAAATTTTAAATTTGTATTTAGATAGTATTTTAATAAAAACTCAATGGTAATGAAAAATTTTAATAAAGTATATGGGTGAGGTTTTATTCGTCTTTTCGTTGTGAATGCATAGAAAAAAAATCATTTCAACCAGAATTAAAACGAAAAAGTTATGACATTTTTAAGAATATAAAAAATATTGTTCATTAATTTGAGTTTGAGTTTCTGAACTCGAGTTGAAGGGAAAACTTGAACTCGAGTTTAGCCCCAAAATCAAGTTTAAATTCGAGTTCAAACTCAAATTTTACAAAAGAACATGAACTTGAATAAAGTTATAACTCGAGTTCAAACTTTTTATGAGTTTTGTTCAAAAAGAACAACCCCTTAATTATTAGTATTAATAACCAAACTCGTAAGGTTGCTAGTTGGTTCGAATACAAATTAATAAATATCTTGATTAATCATATTTGAAAGACTGGTCTTTCAATGATTCACGAGTACATGAGTAATACTCTTGCCGCCAATGGTGACCTTAAACACACACACATCTTACCTTATCATATTCATGTGTACATGAGTAATACTCTTGCCGCCAATGGTGACCTTAAACACACACACACACACATATATACATATAGCTAAAAGCTACATTTCTTTAGCATTTTAACTGAGTTCAACCCGTCCCCATGTCGAGGAAGAAAAATAACCTATAATACAAGGACGTGAAAAATAGATGAAAATGGTGAAAAATACGTGAAAAGGGTTATTAAACCATAATTAGACGTAATCAAAATAATGAGTTGAAGCTTGAATTTGCAAATTACAACTACTTTCCATGACGATAATCCACCAATGAAAGCAAGCGAACGTGTAAAAGTTGAATACTCCGTTGATTTAATTGAACATTATCTAGTATTATTTATTTGCGTTTGCTAATTGTAGTTGGGTTGATCTAAATCATAAATACATCCAAATCCAACCCACAAACGTGAGGCCGACATGTTACTCAAAATTATTTTTATCTTAATCTTGTTGGTTGTGTTGGCCTTTTGTTGCTGAATGATTGCTTTAAGATTTGGCTTTTTGGGGAAAATACTCAAACGACACCCCTCTCTGATCAGCCAAAAAAAAAAAAACGACACCCTTCTCCCCACCGCCCAAAGGCCACGAGACCAAAAATAACCGTCCAAAATTTCAAATTGGCAAAATAAATCGATCAGCAAAAAAAAAAAAAAAAAAAAAAAAAAATTGGCACAATAAATCTCCACCCCAAAAAAGAAAAAAGAAAAAAAAGCACAGTAAAAAGTTAGGTGGCAAAGGCCAAGCAGTGGTGGACAAGGAAAAGTTTGGATGCTAAAATTTTGGGGGGTTTACGTGTTGGGGAATACCCGTATTAGTGTATGTTTTTAAATGTGAGATCATACTATACTATATATAGAATCATTATGTAATTGACTAGTAAGAGAATTGTGTAGTAATTATACCAAAAAAAATTTTAAAAAATTATAAAATTGACCTTTAAAATTTAACTATTATCTCTTTTATTTAAGTTGTTTAAGTTTATCTATACTAATAAAAGACATTTATTATTAAGGAGGTCAATAAAAAAAAATATTGATAATTATAAAAGTGTAGTTTCATAGTTTTCTCAAAAAAGAATCTCACACTGTTTAATTTTGAACTTTTAGATGCACTTCATCAAATTTTGTAAAATTCGCATACTTTTAGGCTTAATATTGTCGTAATCTTGAGATTTGAAATCATGCAGGACAAATACAAAATAGAATATGATAGAATTTTCTGTAAATGTAAAATCGATAAAAAAAAAAGGTAGTTCTAAAATATTCACTACTAATACTTTTTTTTTTGGTTCATAACAATAATCTCATTACGCATAATACACTCATTTGATATCCCTCTATATTAACAATGCGGATAATAACGTTTTATTTTTAAGAGAATGTATGTATTAGTAAAGATTATGTAAATTTATTTAAATTTATTACTAACATATTGCGATTATTATCCTTAAATATTATCCTTTCGTATATAACTTCTTATATACAATATTTATGATTACATGAAAAATCACAAAATTTTAAATGATATTAATAAAGTATTCAATAATACATGCACATAAGATAATGAAAATATTATTTTATTAATTAAATAATATATATATTTTTACATCTCATGTTTTAAGAACACTATTCCTAACAAGAAACACATCCAATTTGCTTGCTAGTCATAATATTTCAAAAAGGTTCTGGAACAACTTGTTAGATTCTTCAACTGAAACCTAGTAAATCAGAAGCAAGCAATGTATTAGAATAGACATTTACAAACTAATTTTAGCTACTTATTATAATCATCATTGAAAAGAGCATATACCAAACACATATTAAATAAATTAAAATAATAATAACAATAAAAAGAAAGAAGTTAGCTTTTGTTTTGTGTGTGGGTCAGGCAAACAAAGGCAAATCCATACAAGGTGGATCCAAAAGGAAAAACATAAACTTGGAAGAATACTTCCATATTATGTGGTTGCTTTTTGATGACTTTATTTCATGGTGTCTTCTAAAGGCAAGTGTATGGGGTTCTAAAAGTTCCTATTTCCATGCCTCAAAAAGTGGACCACACATCACAAAGCCAGATGCCTCTGCTCTCTTAACTTTGTGGGCAATGTTTTAATATGAATGGAACCTCAAAATAAAGTTTGCAATCTACAACCTTGCTTTCCATATTCTACATAGCTCATAACAATCTGTCCATAAATCCAAAGCTCATCATAGTAAATAACAGAACAAGACTATTCTATTCTTAGGATTTCTTAATCAAGGTCAGGGAAAAGCTTGGGAATGTGATAGTTGCCCCAGCATCCAAACATAACAAGGCCTCGTTCATTTCGTTGATTCGAGTTTAGAATTCGAGTTTTGCTACAGTAAAAAGCTCTCACAAACAGTCACATTTAACTTTTTTACTACAGTAAAAAGCTCTCACATAAAGTCACATCTCAACTCGAATCAGCGAACTAAACGGGCCCCAAGTGTATGATTTTTTTTTTTCCTGATAAATGGTTAATGTAATATTCTCACTAAACTGTATGCCGTACTGTACAGCCAACCCCTTACAAGGTACTCATTGTCTGTGAAATGAATTTTTATAGTAAAAAGGGGTCAAATTAGATAATTATAATTTAGTAGTGCTATTGGACATCGAAGCGTTACACCATAATAATATAGTAATGTGTATAAATGTAACCTCAAAATTAAGTTTCTTATTTAACAAAAATTTCCATATTCTACATAACATAGCTACTGTCAATTGTCCAAGGATCCAAAGTCCAAAGCTCAACACATTAAAAAAAAAAAAAAAACCAGAATAATACCATCCTGGATTTATTAATCCATGGGCAAAGAAAAGTGTGGAAATGTGATAATTGTCCCAGCACCCATACATGTTAGCCATATGATATTCTTAGTGAACTGCATGGCCCTACCATACAGCCAATTATACGTATTAGTAGACTATGACCTCTGAACTGAAATTTATATTTTACAGAAACGTAGAAATAGCAGCAAAAATACTTGAGCAAAGCTATACAAGTGAATGGATAGAAGCCCACAAATTCTTGGTCCATGAAAGTTCATTTAAGACCAATAATATCAGGCCTAAATTCTGGCTTGATTACACTGTAGCCTTGGCCCAATCTATCAATCCGTGGGCCTTAATCACAACGGATGAGCGGAGTTCTGAAACTACCACGATACCCCCAAGATTTTCAGATAATATCTAAAACACCACTGGACTCCGAAATTACCATATCACCCTCGACCGCGACGACAGCCCTGAATCCCACACACAGTCCAAAAACCCTAACTCAGTCCCAGTTCGGTGAAGCTCCATCAATGGTGTACCAAATGGCCTTCCTCGGTCGGACCCGAGCTCTAATCAGAGCGCTGAATCAGAACTCCGGCTTCAGAACCATCACCACCTTCCCGCCTCTTTCGCAGGAGCCTCAGCTCGCCGAGCCAGGGAACAATCCCGCCTCTTCTCTCCCTCCAAACCCTGCCTCGGGAAGCCCCCTCTACAATGAGAATTGGCGCAGCCCGATCGCCAATTCTTCCACGAATCAGTCCGTGATTCCTCTCGATTTTCTCCGCCAATCGCCGGCCTCTCGCGCCATGGACGCCAAGAGCCTCATGGACGTCTTCGCCGACTGTACGGCGTCGCAGAACTGGTCGGAAGTGAAGCGGTTGTTCGAGGCTTGGGTCCAGTCGCTGGACAAGAACGGGAAGCCGAACAAGCCCGATGTGAGCCTGTTCAATTATTACCTGAGGGCCAATTTGATGATTGGAGCCACCGCCGGAGATTTGCTGGATGTGGTGGCTCAAATGGAAGACTACGCGATCAAGCCTAATACGGCGTCGTTCAATCTGGTGCTCAAGGCAATGTGCCAGGCTAGAGAGACCGAGGCCGCCGTGAAACTGCTCGACCGGTTTGCTTGTTTCTCTCTCTCTCTTTCCTTCACATTTGAATGTTCTCTGTAGATGTAATTTTGTTTGAAATGAGACATTTTGTAGTTCTTTAAAAATAGCATTTTGTTTTGAAGCTATTTCTTTGCAGAAATGAGACAACTTGAATACAGTTTAGTGGTCGTTGAACAATCTGTATATTGATAGTGAAATATTCTTTAAAAGATTATAGCATAACGTCTGCATAATTGTCTGTGAAGTGAAAGAAAAAAAAAAGCTATACTTTGATTATTGAGTGACTGGGTATAGAGAATTAGGATCATGCCAGAGACAAGACAAGTATTCCTTTCAGTATTTTGTAGGCTTTTGTTCTTTTCGGAAATTAATGTCTTATTTTATAAAAAAGGAGAATGACAATGAAAATCTGGAAAGAAAGTTAAAGAATCCATTAGCAAATCGGTGTTAATTTATCTTTTTATTGGATTTGATCCCAGTGTTTATTGAAATCAAAGATTTTGCCACTCAGTGTCGAGTCAACTGTCTGTACCGTGCCTAACTATATGAGGATGTATGCCATTTGTGTTCGCCTTTCAAGTTAGTCTTGTAGCTTTTTTTTTTGTTTTCTTTTGGTACTCATTTATTTAGTTATACTTGTACAACGATGATTTCACAGATTATTTATATTTTAACTTGTCAGGATGCTGCTAACAGGGAAAGAATCGCTGCCTGATGATGAGTCGTATAACTTGGTTCTTGGCTTGCTTTTTCAGTCTGACAAGATTGATGAGGCCTTCAAATATATAGATTTGACATTAAAATCTGGTTATACATTGTCACTGAGGGTGTTTAGTGATTGTGTAAGAGTATGTGTAAATAAGGGCAGGTTGGATGCTTTAGTATCGATTATTGATAGATGTAAGGTATGTGATTGATGCTTTGACAATTGGAGTTAGAGGTGCCAAGTTTTGTGTCATCTCTACTTATGTGATTTGGTTTCTTTTCTCTTATCAGGCAATGGATCAGAACAAAGCTCTTTGTCCTACCTGGGGATTGTGCAACTTTATCGCAGGTGTTGCCTTGCAAGAGGATAACAGCAAGTTAGCATATCACGCCCTGGAGTTTATGGCCAAATGGATTGCTAGAGGTGAGCAAACAAGGCCTCCTGTCTGGCTATCTGTAGAAGAAGGATTACTTGTGTCAGCAATTGGAACTGCTGCTAGAACTTATGATTCTGATCTCTTGGATGCATCATGGGTGATCCTACGACGTTCATTGCGTCAAAAGAAGGCCCCTAATCCTGAAGCTTACCTCGCAAAGATTCATGCCCTTGCATTGTTGGGGAATCTACGAAGAGCTTTTAGTACCTTACAGGAATTTGAGTCTGTTTATGGAAATTCCCAAACTGAAGCAGAAGAGGAACTATTTTCTCCATTCACCTCCTTATATCCATTGGTTGTGGCATGCTCCAAGAAGGGTTTTGAGACTTTAGATTCGGTATGTCTTTGTAACAGTTAAACTCAATACATATCTTTATGCATTTAACTTAAATTGACACAAAGGTGAATTCTGACGTGTCTCCCTTTTCAGGTGTATTTTCAACTTGAGAATTTGAGTCGTGCAGATCCTCCTTACAAGTCTGTTGCTGCTTTAAACTGTATCATATTAGGGTGTGCAAATAATTGGGACCTTGATCGTGCCTACCAAACCTTTGAGGCAATTGGTTCTAGTTTCGGGTTGAATCCTGACATTCATTCTTACAATGCTCTGGTGAAAGCTTTTGGAAATCTCAAGAAGGTGGATTATTTAGAGCTGCATTCTCTCTCTCTCTCTCACTGACTTATTTGTTGAGAAATGCATCCATTTTGCAAGGCATTTTTTTTTTCCCCCAATGCATATAGGATTTGTACCCACCTTTTTATTTTTTGCTAGTTAGGTTGAATGTGAATTAAAAAAAAAAAAGAAAAAATTTTCTAAGCGGCTTCATCTAATCTTATAACTGACTTTTGATTTGGAGCTGACTTGTGATCGGGAACAAAATTGCAGTTCTTTAGCGTCCTTATTTTGCATACATGTAGTGATGCAAAGTGGCCCGAGCATCGTGCAACGACACATCTGCGTCATATTTACACAACGTAGGCCAAAATTAAACTAATTACTTTTTGTGCTTATCGCAGACATTTGAAGCTTCAAAAGTGTTTGATCACATGCTAAGTTTAGGCATCAAACCCAACGCAACATCATATTCATTACTTGTAGATACTCATCTTATCAACCGAGATCAAAAAGCTGCGCTTTCCATGCTTGATGACATGGTAACTTCTATGTTTTGGGACTGATTAGCACGACTTTTCTTCAATTTTTCTGTCTTTTTGGATATGCTAATGTACTACATAACAACTTCCATGAAGGTAAATGCTGGTTTTGAGCCATCAAAAGAAACACTGAAGAAGGTCAGAAGGCGATGTATTCGAGAGATGGATTATGAAAGCAATGACCGCGTGCAATCCTTCGCTGTGAAGTACAAAATTCGAATGGGTACTGAGAATCGCAGGGATATGCTGTTTAATCTCCGGTACAGCACCGAATATGCCTCGTAGGTAAGTATCAGCACATATTGGGAGCCTTAAAACTGAAATGGAAACTGAGAGATGATATCCATGTTTTTAAATTTGTGATGTTTGTTGCTACTCTCATTCTGAGGATTTTAGCAGCGGACACTGAAGTTCATAACAACATTTTTTACGCCGTGCCTCTTCATTCTTTGCGTCAACCCTTTGATGGTTATGAATCATTGATTCATGAATGCGTGATTTGTTATTGCAGGTTTTGATTATTGTTGGTGTGGAATATCTGAACGCCCCTGATTTGGTTCACCAAGATAGCGATTTTCTAGCTTTACCTTCCGATAATTTTCAACCATGTTTGTATATTACCCAATTATACTAAATTTTGAAGCTTGGTAAGATGAATGCCCGGATCATAGTCTTTGTTTTTTGTCATTTTATTTTGTTTTACCTTTGTATCAGTTTTGTGCTTTTTGAAGAAAATCTGAATGGCACTAATTTGTAGACTAGACAGAGAGCATAATTACGAGACGATATCAATAATAAAGATACCCCAACAGGCGTTTGAGCGGGTAATTTTTGTTGTTGTCGTCGTTATTATTGTTTATCATTGATATCACTCTTTTGGAAACAGAAACTGAAAGGTACGAGTATAAATGGTTTTTTCTAGATTTAAGATATAGATTTCACGACTAACGAAAAAAAAAAGGGATATGCATCTTACTTCCATGTCATCATGTGTGCTGAGTTAAACAATATCATCATTTAGATCACCATCATAAATGTTGTTTATGGATTAAAAAAAAAGAATTTTCTATGAATTTACCGTTAAATACAAGATTTTGCTTTTAGCCAAAAGTTATATATTATTGATGTCAACTTATTATTTTAGGTTAATTTTAGAAATGGTATATGAGGTTTACAGTTAATTTTATTTTAATCTTTAATTTTTCAAACGTCGCACAGATAGTCTCTGAGGTTTTATTTTGTTTCAGTTTCAGTCATTCCATCGATTAGGCGTTAAAATTTACTAGAATCTGTTAAATTAGAGTCTAAAATTAGAAGCTAAAATTTTGGGTCTCTGTGAAAATTAATTTTTGATTTTTTGTATTGTTTTAGTCTCTAAACTTTATATGTTTTCAATTTTAATCCATAATTTCTATAGATTTTACCAAATATTTAAATACCAAACTAACATAAGGACCGAAATTGAAATAAAATAAAACTTCAGGATTAACTATGCAACATTTGAAAAGTTCGGAACTAAAATGAGATTGAAATTGAAGTTAAACCTCATGGACCATTTGTGAGATTAACCTTATTATTTTCCTTGATTCACAATAAGAGGATTGGATGAAGAAGCCGCATTATGGAAAGATAAGATTAGTATAATGCATGAAAATATAGTTTTCCTCTTAATTTTTTACTACAAAAAGAAATAAATGGTACAGCATTGGAGGCATAACCAAGAATCAAAACGCCAAAAAGTGTATTGAATTCGCTTCCACCAAGCCTTTATGGAATGAAACAATTTATTACTCAACTTTTATTTCTATGGACTAATGCATCACAAAGCTTTATATCTCATGCCACCACCAAATCCTAAGCTGCAAAGACTCTTAATATACTATATGAAATCCGTTTGCATAAATACTCCTGCACTCTTCAAACCCAAAAAGCGATTCCTATGATGATGCAGCGGCAGCGGCGGCCTTCTGTAAATAGTAGAGTTACGTAAGTTTTTGATGAACTAGAGAGATGCGAAAGTGAGTCCCAAAAATGGTTACCTAAAAGGAATTGAGTAAAAGTTTAATACTGTTTTACCCTTTTCTGCTCTTCCATGTTTGCCTTAATAAGGGAATAGATGGCAACACCGGCAATTGCTATCGCAGTACCAATACCGGTTTGTGAAGAAATTTTGTTGCCTGTCAAAGTTACGGAATCATTAGGATGTCAAATACTTTGATTTTCTTGCCAAAAGAAATATGATTTGAATGCATAAGCAACAGGCCGGGATAAGACATGAGGAGGAGTCACTGATAAAAGGATGTAGAAATGAGTAGTTACCGAAGATAACAATGGAGAAACCAATTACAAAAACTCGCTTCAACACGTTTCCAACTGCATGTGTAAGCGGCGCAACCCGTTCCAGAGTGTTGGTAGCAAGCTGCAATTGTTATGATGAAAGATGGTGAGCACAGAGTAAGCTTCAATCTAGTACTTAACGCTAGCATAGTTTCAGTTTTTAGTGATTGCTAAACCGCATCAATTTTTAGCCATGAGTGTTTATGGATGGAGATAAAAATTAATGGATGTTAGATACCAAACCTGACTAATTAGTCTCTATGGCCTACCTGATTGTACAAGTGATAGAACATTCCAATCCAGAATAAGTCAGACAAGAATTTGGTAAGGCCAACTTTGGCAATAGCATCTCTGAAACCATGTTGCATCAGTTGGGGTCCCTCAATCTGAAATCAACTCAAAGCGTTCAAAGTTACAAGGTCAGAATTTTTTTTTCTATGAAATATGGGAATAATTAGTTGACCTCCAAAAGAATAAACTTACAATTACAGCTGGCGGGATGCAAACAAAGAGTGCAATAATTGAAGTATAAGCATACACGTTGGTACTGTCCATTCCAGTCTGATGAAGCAAAAATGAGTGAATAAATAACCGAAAAATTAAACGGAGAGGTAAAGAGGACAAAGAAAAGAAAACTTTTGAACTATGGATCTCACTTTCTTGTAGAACTTACCATTGCTTTCTTGGAATAGATACTTCTGTAGGTAAATGCAATGTTCGAAATCATCGCGCTGATGAAACCGGTCCAGTTAAAAGAAAGTTCGGTCAGTGATGCCATTGATACACCTAAAACAGAATTTACACACCACTCAGAGGATGAATTACACAAGACTTCCTATTCTACTAATTTGTCAGGCTTATGTATGCGTATGCATACCAATGTGTTTGAGTGTGAATTAGTATAGTTGGCATGAGAGTAAGATCAACGCGTTGAAGAAATTAAGAAAAATATAAGGGAAATAATGAAGGGTTATAGAAAGGTTACCAATTACTACAGGAGCCAATGAAAGCCAAAGAGACAGCGGGATTTGATGGCCCAAAACAAATTGAGAAGCAGCAGCATTGAAGAATGGCTCCAGCGCTGGTAAAAAAACACATAGGAAATGATAAACATGAAATACCATCATTAAAAGATAAATTCTGAGACGAAGAAACAATCCTAAACTTGATTCTGTCCCAAGAAACTAAGGGATAGAATAACTGAAAATAAGCGCAATGTATTCCCCATAAGAGATTAGAAAAAACAAGTGAAACTGCAAGATTCACTGATTAAGCCAAAAATATGGAAAATGTGAACTTGCTTTACCTTTAATAGTGTGTGTGAAAGATACAGCAACGGCTGCAAATGACACATTGGACATGACATGTCCAAGGGCATGACAAAATGCGACCGGAGTCAACAGCAACAAGAGCTCCTTGTTAATTGGCTGTATAACACCCAAATAATGAAGCCACTATTGTAAGAAACCATATTTTGTCTTCAGGAAAGAAGGTAACGAATTCAAAAACTTAAACTTACCGCGCGCTTAGGTAAACCGACGGCCCAAGAAACAAGACAGTAGGCTACTCCAACAAGGAGATGAATAAGCGAAACAAAACTACAGAATAAGGAGATTAAGCCTATTAGTTCTGAGGGAAGTGAATATAAAAAGCTAAAAACAAGAGATAAGATCAAGGTTTGAATGAAAAACAAGAATAAGTTATTTGTCTGAGAAGGCATACTATGGATATGGGAAGTAATTATAGACCTTCTTGTTGAGGATGTTGAAGATGACATTTAAAAAGTACCTGCATTGATGAAAGAACAAGATCATTAAATAAATTTATAAATACCAAAACGATTAATTGGTGAAGTAAACAAGTAGAGTGATCTTCATGTGAAAATAATGGAAAATAAAACTGCTTCGTACCACATAAAGAAAAAGAAACCAGTGATCAACCAAGGAAATCTCTCTGCAAAGCTCTTTTCAGTCTTCGCATACCTGCAGTTGAAGATAATAATGTTAGCGCAACTCTACGATATGTCGTTTTTCATCAACTACAGATTACCTTTTTTAAAAATAATAATAACGATGATAAGTTTTAATAGAGGCCAGAAGACACTAACGTAGAGTGTCGTTGTTATAGTGGCAGAACCTTAAACGTGGAAACGACAAGTCGTTTTCATTAACTGAACGACATTCTCTTGACGCAAAACCATACCGCTTAAGACGGAACGACAACAAAATGTTATCATTCTAGTTTCTAGATCCATGAAAACGAAATGTCGTTTCTAACAACAAACATCATCAAAGCTTCTTTGAGCACAAACTTCAAAGTCAAGAGAAAACAGAAAACTTCTTTCAGCACACGTCAAAAAACGTTTCTTTCCAACTCCAACCACCTTCCTTTCTCCACAAACAAACAAAAACTAAAAAACGGATCACGAGAATCAAAAGAAAAAAAAAAGGAAAACAAGAAGAAGAGGAGGAAAGTAAAGTCCAACCCGTCGGAAATCTCAATCTCACGACCGTCGGCGTCCGCCGCTGCGGCCTTGGCGACCGGAAATTCAGCATCGGAACCTCGTCTCCTCAGGCGCTGATTCCAAAGCGAGAAACCCAAGGCCTTGTTCGGAACCTCGACGTTCTCAGAAGAAGAAGCTCTAACGACATTCCTCGTCAACGGCGAAAACGCCAAGCCTGAGTCTCTAAAAGCAAGCGATCGAGACTTGATCGCCACCAGAGCCGGCGAAATCCTCGTCGCCGGCGACAGGTAAAGAGAAGAGAATCGAGACTCACTGATCTGACACTGAACTGGACTGGTCACCGAATTCGAAGCCATGGTTTGGTTGATCACAGAAAATCGGTTTTGCTTAAAAGAAGAATTATGGGAACTTAACGTTGGAATCAAAGAGGTGAGTTTGTTTATATATATATATATATATATTTATATATATGTGTATATGTATGTATGTATGTATTATATGAAGCGGAGAAAACAAAGAAGCCAATTTTTTTTTTTTTGGTGGAAGTTATGGAAAAAAAGTGGAGTGAAACTGGAGAGGATTTCGAAGGAGAATATACGACTGTGTTTTGTTGTGGAGTTTTGGTAGGAGAAGGAGAATGGGTTGGTTTGAACTTAAAAATAAAATAAATATAAATAAATAAATAAAAAGGAAAAGGAAATAAAAAGTGGACTTTTGAGTGAAAGGATAGCCTCAGAATTCGAGGAGGAGTGTGACAATACAGAGAGGTGATGAACTAATAATAATGGCAGAGAGAGAGAGAGAGAGAGTGTTACCAATAAACAGAAGACGACAGGGCTCTTAAGAGTAGTGATGGACCGGGGGTGTTATTATGTGTCGTTTATGCCACTTGGCTTTTTTTTTTTTTTTTGCCCTTTAAAACACCACTTCTTTTTTTATTATTATTTTAATGTAATATAGCAGTTCTCTCATACCAATTAAGGGAATCAACTCAAAAGTTTGTCCTCAAATAATCGAGATATTATTCAGTTAGGCGTTATAAATAATTCTTTCACGAAAGGAAAAGCATTGAGAACAGAATTGTAGAACATCATTTTCTAACCAAGGAATTAACAAAGATGCTTTGCCAAAAATTAAATTAAATTAAATTAAATAAAACAAAATGTAGCGCTTTTGTTGATCATGGATCAATCTAGGCCACAAACTTGTGAATAAACTTATGATGAGATAGCCACTTATCCTTCTTTTTTTTTCAATTAGTAGACGTCATAAGTAATTTTAAAGATTTAATAAAAACCACTTTCCTTTCAAAAAAAAAAAAAA